CCCCAAGAGCCTTCTGAGGTGAATAGACTTGAATAAAAATCAGCAATGTGGTCCTGGATTTCTTTCTGAGTTGCACAAATTCTGCTTTGGGCAGTGATTAGCCTTGTGATGGCATTCTGTCTCCTTCTATGCAATGTGTATGCATGAAAGAACCTTGTATTGCTATCTCCTTCTCTGAGCCATTGTCTTCGAGCTTTTTGCTGCCAAAATAGTTCCTCTGACTTATGTGCAGCTTCCAAATCCTTTTTTGTGGCCATCCACTCCTCCCAGTTGTCTGCTGATTTATTCTGGTTAAGAAGTTCCAGTTTCTTAGATAGGTTAGCAATGTGGGATTAATTCTGAGAATTAAAAGAGGCACTCCAGCGAAGTAGGGCACTTCTGATAGCTTTAACTTTCTCTTTGAGAATAAAAAAAGGTGTTCCTGAGAATGGTGTAGCCCAAGCTGTCTTCACCACTTCATTTATGCCCTCCTTAGTTAGCCACCTTTTGTCAAAAGAAAATCTGCTCTTTTTTATGTCTGTTCTGTCACCAGAGTGGAGTATCAACATGGAGTGATCAGATGCTGATTTTGCTTCAGTGGATATGTTAGCTTGAGGATGTGTTGCTAGCCAGTCAGGAGAGGCAAAGCCTCTGTCCAGTTTAACTTCTACTAGTCCTTCATATGACCTATTGTTGCACCAGGTGTATTTATAGCCTTGCAATTTGATCTCCTCCATGCCCATTGTAGTAATAAACTGATTAAATCCAGTGAAGCTTGATGCTGATCTCTGAAGTCCCCCTTTTTTGTCCTCATTGGAACAGATGTCATTCCAATCTCCAATCATGAACCAGCTGCTACCCCATTCAGACTTTGCAGTGCCCAGTTATGCCCATTGGGACTGTCTTGTGAAACTGCAGGTGCTAAGATAAACAAACACTCCCCAAGAATAAGATGAGTCTTTGTTAAGGAACTTTACTGCAATATAGAAGCTAAGCTTAAGAATCTGAATAACCTGAACTTCAGAAGACTAAACAAAGCAGTAATCCTCCACTGAGGCCAAAAGGATCAATAATTACACATCTGTTCTCAAAACCTAGTTTCCTAACAACTGTTGTAACAAATTAAAAAGATTTTTTTGTTTCTGATAAAAAGAGAAAATTGGGGTGATGAGTCTTACATGACTCTCTGATTTGGGAAACTGTAGAGGGCCCACCCAGCCCTCTACAGTTCCACACCACAGCATTCATTTGCCACTTGGGTGCCATTCTAGGCTGGCAACCCCCACCTGTTTGGATTCTCTTTTTTGCTTTTTGAGCTCTTCTTGTTCAATGCCTGGAGTGTGTTCTTCCATGTTTTTGTTGTCACAGAGAGATCTGTTTCTTTTGCCAGTTTGACTGCTTACAGGTTGAGTGGGCTCTTGGTTCTGTCTTTGGAGTCTACCTGCTGATGAAGAAGATCTTTTCCAAGACTTAGGCTGCTTGAGTTGATGGCTTGGGCTATTAGTTTTGGGAGGGATTGGGGTAATAATAGTGAGTTGGAGTGGTTCAATGTCCATGTCTTTGACAGTGTGTTGGGGTGGAGGGGTGGAAGATTGGCCTTCTATCATCAAAGTGGCTTGAATGTTTTAGAAGGGGTAGTGAGGGTAATAGGAGTTTGAGGATTAGAGGCTGATTTGAAATTTGAGGCTTCAGAGGTTGGTAAGAGGTGCTGAGAGGAGGAGTCTAGGATGGGAAGAAGGTTGGCGCTATCAGATTTGGGACTGGAATTTGACTGGGGTGTATTAATAGGTTCAGGTGATGCTTGAGCATTAGATTGAGGTGGACTCTTGGAACTTGATGAAGCTAAACTAGACCATCTATTGCTTTCTGTGGCTCTCATCCAATCTCCAAACTCGCCATCTTTCACCGCTTTATTTTTTATGTCATCCAACCTCTTTGAACAAGCTCTGTCCAAGTGACCAATGAAACCACAATAGTGACAGTGATTCAGCAGTTTTTCATATTTGAAACTGACACTTACTGCCTGATTATTCAGCCTGATATGGGCACATCTGGGTAAGGCTTCTGTTAAGTCCACAGTAACTAATAGTCTCATAATTCTGCCACCATGACTGCCTGTCCCTACTATCACCACATTCTTCACTTGTTTAAACACTTTACCAATTTTCAGGCCTACATCAGTACTTAACCAGTTCAGAGGCAGATTGAATACCTGAACCCATAGATGAAGCTCTTGGAAAGTTGGATGATTGAGAGACAACCCGTCTTTCCATACCGAGAGTATGAGATATTGGTTTTCAAAAGTCCAGTTGAGTCCCGTGGCTACCCTTTCCAAGTCTTCCTTGCTCTGAAAGATGAACTGGAAATAATTTGGTCCTAGCTCCTTTACCTCCATTGGCTCTTTTAACTTCCAGATTTTACTCATCGCTCTTCGTAGGCCAATCCATGAGGCTCTTCGGTCTCCAATAATCTTTCCGAACAGACTACTATGACACTCTGCGTCACTGATTTTGATATCATCAGAGGCAATATCTATGTATGTATGTTCTTTTTCTGATAGAGAGAAACCTTGAAGGCGCTGCGTAAGTTCTTCATCCTGCCCAACGCAGCTGGGTGTGCCCATCATTACTAACCCTATTGCTGTTGGAAGCTGATTGAAGACGAGGATCTGCTACTAATTAGTGGGGATTGGATAGTGAGAAGGCGAAATTTATAGCAAGAACTGAATATGGATGAAAACTATCGACAACTGCCGAACGCTCTCCGGCGAGAGAATGGGGAACGCTCTTCTACGAGAGAATTTTTTAATGAGATTTAATGTACTCGATATGATATTATGTGAAATTGAAAATTAATGTGTTGTTTGTGTTTTGGAGGATCTCTTCGATTATAAGGAATCGAACGAGACCCCAAAACTCGTGTAAGGCTGTGGATTTTGGAACCATGTCGAGTCCTTGGCCTTATGGGAAGGCCTCGGGCGAGAATTATATGTTATGTATCATGTGTGAACTTATCGAACTCGTTTACTCGTTGATTTAGTGTTAGAATTATTAAAAATCGTACACTACTCAGATTGCCTTGAAATTTTGAAGGTCATGCCTTCTACTGAACATCAGGCTTGTGTAAAAAATTCATAATTTGTCAAGGATTGTAGCTATTTTAAATAAATAAAGTGATTTCTGGTCAGAAACTTGTTAAGTGCATAATAAATTGGTCCAAGCTTTAATTATGCTGAAATTTGAGTATGTTATGTCTCTCTCATGTTTATATGCTGTAAAAAATGTTTAGAATTTTTGGGTTAGGTTTGATAGGGTAAATAATTTATTTTGTGATTCTGCAGGAAGTTGTTTTCATTATGATAAATTGGTCAATGGCTGAAAAATTCTGATATTTAGCTGCAGTGCTTGTTTTATGTGAAGTTTCATGCTGTAAAAAGATTAGAATTTTTGGAGTTCAAATTGGTTTGATTTTAGTTAAAATTTGAAAACTCCTGAAACTTGTATGAATTTTTAAAATTCGTACAGTTAATGTCCATGGCTGAAATTTTTATGTATTGTCACTCTCATGCTTTAGTTTGTGGTGGTAAAATATCAAGACATGAATCGTTCATTAGGTTTAGATGTGAACTTATGTTTGTTTTTGCTGTTATCTTGTACGAAATTTTTTAAATCATGTACTTTGAATTTGAGGCTGAAACTTGGTGGTTTTTCCAATTACTGAGAGGTGTAAGTTTGGTTAAAATTTTAGAGTTTAATTCATAGGGAAACCTAACCAACTAGTTTTATGTAATTATTGGTTATTATTTTCAAGATATGATTTTGAAATTAAAATCTGTAATCGACTTGCTTTTCGTTTTGTTGAGTGTTTGACTTGGTCAATCCTTAGTGGGATTTATGCGAACTCCCAAATGTGGTTTGGTCGAGTATAGTGCCGAGTCTAAGTGTTCCAACGTCCACAGGACTTCACGAACAACTTAGTCGAATCAAGTTCAACTAAGTCTGATTTGTGTTTTTCCGATTAAGTCAAGATATTGATTGTAGTATGTTGACATAATGTAGGTGTTTGAGGAGTCAAGCCTCCACCCACGTCTTTTCTGACATTTGCTATCGTCAATCCGAATTACCAGGTGGGTTAGCTATTCTAAAATACATGTGCAATGTGTCTTTAAATATGTTTTCTGATTTGGTGTGATCTACGTATGAACGTGAATATGTAGCCTATCAATGTGAGCTATTATGTGGCCGTCGGTGCGGTTGTCCCCGTCAATGTAATACGGTTGCCCGTGCGAGGCAAGTCTTCTTAAAACCTAATGAAAGGCCGTGTCCTTGCGTGGCACGTACTCTCGCCGTTAGGGTAATGAATCCCCTTTCCGCGACTATTATGAAAGATGTGTACACAAGAGTATTTATGTTTATGTTATGATGGAGATGATACATATCTGATATTTTTTATGTTCATGCTGTGACCATGCCTATTTAACATATTATGAAATGTGCATTGCATAGTGTGAGCATTATTTTCCGCTTATGCTCACTCCCACCTGCTCTTAACGGATGAAGGTTAAGTAGTGCCGCGTGACGAGACAAGGCGAGTGGTGGTCATGCCTATTTATTATACCTATTTAATTGCTTCCGCTTTCTCATGAACTTATGTTGGTATTGAACATGTTAGATTGGATTTGGAACTTGTTTTGAAAACAATTGGATTTGGTTCATGTTGAAAAACCTTTCTTGATATATGGTTGAGAATATCCTGATGTTTATGTTTACTGTTTATGTGGTTAATGAAAACTGTTGAAAAATCGGGTAATGAATCCCCGTAGTTCAGATATGACTTGAACTGTGTTTTTGAAAAGAATGAGTAACGCCAAAAGTTTATGATTCGAAAAATAAGTTTCCAAAACTTTTACCTTGATTTTTGGAAAAGCCATAGATTTTGTTTAAGAATCGATTGGGGCGTTACACAAAAGGTCAAAGCCTAAAGGGTGTCGTCCACATCAGCAACAGCTACTGACAGTCAAGTATGATGCAACGGCTAAAGGCATATCCGATTCCGGTGAAATCGTATTTCTAACCGAACTCGACCAAGTTGGCACACTAGATCTTCCATGGTACAACTTTGAGACACTAGAAAATGCCACCATCTTGCAAACACACTCTTGGTAGTATGTTTTCATTATCAACCGTGTGAGCGATTTGTAGTTTATGTCTGATTATAGTTTAAGAGAATTCTAAGATGATAATGGTGTGGAATTATATGATATGTGTATAATGTGGTTGAGGTTGATATGATATGGTATGTCTGATTATTATAACGCCCTACTTTGATTTAACAAAAATCCGCGGCTTTTCAGAAAAATAAATTTAATTTTCGAAACTCATTTCAAAACATTTTTGGCGTTACTCATTTAAAATCAACATCCATCGACATATCCATAGCATTAATCATAATATTCAACTCCCAAAACGGGTTCATAAAATCATCACTTACCCAAATCAGGTTTCAGTAAAATTTGCACAGCGTCGTGGGGGCAACTCCCCAACATTATTCTCAATAATCATAAATTCTCAGAGTCCATAAAATCATAATACCATAAATCAGTTCATAGATAGCGGAAACAATAAACAAAAGTCTGTTCATATAGACCGACCACCACTCGCTTCTCTCCGCCGCCATGCCTGTCCTGGTTAACCTGAAATGTTAATTTCAGGTGGGAATGAGCACATACGAAAACCGTGGTGCTCACCACTATGCAATAAACAACAATCATAATATCAACATGTATGATCGCAGCATGTATATGAATCAATCATCTATCTCAATCATAAAATCACAGTGTCAAGACTCATGTGCACACCTACGCATAGACTATTGCTGGTAGACGTATCGAATGCCTTCGCTCAGGTCTTACATCGAATGCCCCATGGGCTCTACGTCTATGCCCCATTGGCTTATACACCGAATCGCCCCACGGGCGTCCATCGATGCCCAGTCAGTAGAAGTAACCCCACAGGTTTCGTTTAAAGCTACGGGAAAAACCATTCAAAGGTCGGTACAGCTCACATCGAAGACTACATGGTTCACATGCATACATTGATCATACCACACGTAAGGCAACAATTTATTGCATAGAAATTTCAAATAAACCCACCTTGAATCCGAAGTAGCAAAAGTAAACAAGAGCCGGTAGGATGAGAGCACAACTCGTTAAACACCTACATTCAGTAAGAATAGTCCTATCAACAACTATTCCAACACTTAAAGCCACATTCACTTATTCACTCAGTCGAATACTATCGACTAGGTGATTCGTGTGTCCTTTAGTGGAGTTTGGAACCTTTGGAGTACACCACTAGACTCAGACAACTAATTACAAATCATATAGAACACGTATAGCATGCATTTAAAAAGTAAGTTATATTTTCGAAAGCACAACATAAGTTTTTCAAAAGCTTAACCCGTGCAGCGACTTTAAAATGAACGCAACTTGCAACACATATAAGTCATATAAACATGATTCCAGTTGCATATGACTAGCTTCTACAACTCGTATGAGTATATTTGTAAAAGATAAGGTCATCTACCAGGAGATAATTCTTCAAACAATTATAACAGGGTTGCAGTCTACAATTTGAAATCATACAACTGACAGGACCTCAGTAATTGCAGGATAAATGAAGCTATAGATATGCATTTAAAGACGTCATTGGTAAATAATGATGTTATCATTAGGTTTAAACACAAAATATTCGGTTCACAAAAACTGCCAGAAACCAACTCATGATGCAAACAGCACCTCAGTAATTATCCTCTAATTCATACAACAGACCTTCAAATGACAATATTCAAAAACCAATAGAAATCCAAGAAGTAAGGCTACAAGTATCATGAAGACCACATTTTAGTTTGAGCATATATAGACATCGAAAACATGCCAAACATAAAATAAATACATGCTGCTGGGTTTTACTGAAAACTGCTTGTGCGATAATTTTGTAAAAATCATAACTCACTCGATTCAAATCAGATTTTAAAAATTCCAAAACCCACGGAAAGGTAACAAGATAAGCTAAATGTTATATGAAGATAACATCTTCATAAAACGAGTCCTTGATGGGCATAACAGAGACGCAACGGAGACATTAAAAATCGTGATTAATCACAAAAATCTCAATGACATAAGCAACTCATTTAAAACCCTAAACATGCCTTCTAAAACAATAAATTTATCATCATGATCATGGACACTCAAATTACCTATAACTCCAGGATTTTCACGAATTCAACACATATCCTTCGATTTCGATAATAAATCGAAGTGACGAACATGAAACAGCACCCAATCATAAATAATTATTAAGGCAGCAATGTATACACATTTATATCATAAATTAGGTCCAGAGAAGCTACCCATTACCGTACTCCATTGGAGGGTCGTGGAAACGGGGCTAGGACTTGGACGCGGGCTTGGTGTGACTCTGGCGTTTGCGCGGTGTCTCATTGCTTCCTTGAATTGGTTAGCCTATGACCAGCAGGTCATCTACCGAAGACTCAGAGTCTACCTCTGGTGATAAACGGCTTTCCCCCCATTCTCTCCCGAGTCGAGCGAGTAAGTCGTAGAAATTGACCGGTGCGGGTCCTAGGTACGCCCTCGGGCCTCGACTCGAGAGGTCATAGCATATTTCTTCGACTCTCCACCTCCAGGTCATTATGAGCACAACTTTAAGCTTTTCAATCCCCGTCTCGTGAGTGATGCCGTGGCATTCTAACCTCATCAACTCCCATATCTCGAGCACCTCCTGAAATCCTTGCCTATTTTCAATAGGCGTCACAGGTGGAACTCCTCGAATTATTTTACCTTCTGACGCTTAACCTCCTCCAGTACGAGGCTCGGTCCTTCTGGCATCTCGCACGATACTAAGGAAAGTGAAATGGGTTCTTCGGTTGAGGCCCGAAAACTAGAACGACGAACCTTGGGTGGCTCACGCTCGGCCTTGGTTCGTTCTCGCACGGATGGACGGGGTCGGATTTTCTCGCGACTGTACGTGACAACGGATCGACACCGGCGAACCGGTTGGCTCGTTGTTAGAGGAAGCGGACGAGGGCCCCGGGCCGAGATACACAATGAAAATCCCGACGGCTTTGCTGTTCACGGGCGTTCACGGTGTCGGTAGCAGAAATGGAAAACGCCTTTATCCAGCGCTTGCCGGACGTGGTCAAAGGTGGTGGATGGCTGACTGTTCGTGGGAGTCGGCGGTCATGAAAGGGTGGCGGCCTGGCTCGCGTGGTTGCAGCGGTCTCTCATCGGAAGAGAAAAACAGCGGCTGACGGTGGGAAGGTCGCGCGGTTTGGTGCTTGCACGTGGCGGGTTTCCTGTTTGCGAGGGTCGTGGCGGTGGCCGGATTTGAAGCGGCAAGAGGTAAAACGCCGGCGGGAATGGTGGCGGGTTGAGGCTCGCGTGGTGGCTGGCGGTCGTTCGTTGGGTCGCCCGCAAAGGAGGAGGAACGGTCGCTGTTCTTGCCGGTGTATTGCGTATGGGGAGGAGGCAGCCGCCGGCGACGTGCGTGCTGCTCACGGCGGCCGAAGGGCGGTGATGGTGATGAACGGGATTTTGAAAAAGAAGAAGGGGCGAGCGGCTAGGTTTTCCGTGGAATAATCTTGAGGGAGAAGAAAGATACCTATTTATATATTTAGGGTTCCATGACTTATCATCCAAGCCAAAATAGGGAAAACGGGTTGGCAGGGCGCGGGTCATGGCCGGTTTCGACTACCGGTTTCTCGGGCTTCATTTATTTAATCCGACATATATCGCTCGGAAAATAAAATACGACATCCAGAAAATTAAATAATTAATCCGGTAATACATATATATATATATATATATAATCCACGCAATAATATTACTTAGGCATTTATTTCAAATAGATAATAATTATAACGCCAATAAGGCAATATTCAAAAATTCCAATAATTGAACGGCTGGGAATCGAACTACGCGATTAAGCCGAAATCGCCGAACGACGAACATTTTGAAATAAACGATCGAGTACTTCAACATAAAATTTAAGTCGACATCGCGACCAATACTATAAATATAGCCTAATAAATAAAATTCGATAAATAGAATAATCTAAAAAATTCTATAAATCAAACGAGACGCTACATCTATCCTCCTTAAAAGATTTCCGTCCTCGGAAATACGAAAGTACACGCATCAAAAGGCAAAAGACAAACTCGAACGGGAATTTCCAAATATGAGGTCCGGGTATCCCCTCCGAAACTCGACCCCGCTCGCATAAGTCTTATCGCCATATACTCAAAAGGTATACACTCACATACAATAGCCAATCCAACTTGCCCAATGCTCATATGTTTACCTTTTTTCCTGGTAGGGTGATCAGTCCTGCTCGAGCTCCGGCGTACATCCTCTTGCAAGGGACACAGTCCGGCTTCGCCTATACCAATAAGTATCAACAATTTCGCATCGTACCTAACAACACACAAGACCTCAACCGGTCGTTCGGTGTATTGCTAGTGTACTCCGACTGCCTCACCATCAAGGTGGATACGTGACGCTAAGCTTCGGTCTCGTGCCCGAGTCATACTGATAACATGCTCATGATTTCAATCACGGGTCGTGCGTCTCCATCAGAGACATCGACACGGTACCACATATAGACAGAACAACCCCAAAATGCTCATACTCTCAGTGATATTGACTCCACGAGTCGAACGTAGTCCTTATGCGCAACATAAGGATTCGTCCAATAGCAACGCAAACTTCCCAATGCATAGGGACTCTTCGACTACACCCCTTAATCAGAAACCATTGATTAAGGATTCATACACATTTTAGTGGAACTTGGAGTTCTCGGTCCGAGGCTCGAACAAAAAGGGTTCAAAGAAAAGGCTAACCAATAAGTCTAGAAGTAAATAAATAGAATAGTTCTGGAAAAACGATGGTTCGCGGTTAGTGCACTATCACCCAAGAGGGGGCACGCTTGCTGGCGCTGCATAAGCGGGGTGCTGGGACGCGCGCGTACACACCTACTCGGAAGCCAGCTGCAAGGTCAAGGTTCGGCCGCACACGCTGGCCTGGGGAGTTCGTGCGTTCGGTGATGGCGGTTGCAGCTCGCGTGCGAGTCGACGGTCGGCTGCGCGCTAG